CGGTTCGGAGCCAACGCTGGCGCAGCCTTCATTCGTGGCACGCACAGGACAGTAAGGACAATCCCATTAGAAAGACTGCAACATATCACCCCAGATGCAGGCAGCGCTCAAACCGGGCATTTTCCGGCACATGCACGTACGCTTGAGAGACGGTTCTGAGATGCGGGCTTCTTGCAACAAATCTTCGAACAGTATCCTACTTAGAGTCCCTGGGACTTGGTAAGTCGGTTATACGTGGGGTAGGGTTATAATTGGGGGTAGCTCCCCCCGAATTAGTGTCCGAAGTAGTGTGCATCTATCCGTTTAACTTGGGTGCCGACTCACTGGCGTAGCGCTTTTGCTTTTAGGGGTTTAGGGGTTTGGGGTTTAAAACTCAGGGTTTGGGGTTTAGGGCTCTGGAGCACAGGTTGCCAAGAAGCCCCTGGTGGCTGTTCTGGGAGCATCTGGACTAGCTACAGTCTCCATTGTAGTTCTTTTTCTTGGTTCAACCAATCTTAGTGTTTGGGTTAGACGGTGACCAAAAAACACGAACTGCAATGGAGAGTGCAGGCAAATCGCACCTCATATCCGAAAAGCTGGCGGCTGCTGAGACTGAAGTGCATGAATACTTGAGTCTTCATCCTCGCTCTCTTCCCAGGAACGTCAATGCAAACTTTTTGGTCTTAGAGCTCTCTTTGCGGCGACTTCCTGAAGCACTCCCGCCGTTCGACCCTGTGCTTCTTGAGGTTTAGGGTTTAGGGTTTAGGGTTTAGGGTTTAAGGTTTAGGGTACTTTATGGCGACATTCGCCTCACCCTAAACTGTGGCCATGCATCTCTTCACTACTGAGACTCTGTTTAACTGCATTGCTCGTTGTGAAGCACCAGTCCCGATGTGGCAGCTGACGCTTCGGGCTTACAAGCGTTACCATAAACACGCATCCCTAAGTAAAGTCTTGTCGTTACCCTGAACTGAAGCCGGAGCTCCTCATCCCCTTCAGCCTGTCTGATGCATCACAGCCACCAGATCAAGGATGACAAAACGGCAATAGCGGCCTGCACCCGGACATGCTGAGGAATCTCGCAAGGCGGAAAAGTTTATCGGCTGCCACTGGAATCGGTAAGTGCTTGAAGTACCAGCGGCAGTACGAGTCGCAACAGTGTAGCAGCAAGAGTAGTGCTGGTGGTAGTGGTGGTGGTGGTAGTGGTGGTGGTGGTAGTAATAGTGGACGCAGCAGTAAAAGAAGAAGGAGCCGGAGCAGTAGGAGGAAGAGGAGGAGGAGGAGGAGCAGGACTTTCAGGACGAGCAGGAGGAGGAGTTGGAGGAGTAGTAGGAATAGGAGTCGGAGGAGGAGCAGGGGCAGCAGCAGGAGCAGCAGGAGCAGTAGTAGTAGTAGTAGTAGTAGTAGTAGTAGTAGCAGTAGTAGCAGTAGCAGTAGCAGTAGCATGAAGAGCAAAAGTACTAGCAGTAAGAGTGGGAGTAGCAGGAGCCGAAGCAGAAAAGCGAATTGCAGTGGCCCTGGCACCAGTCCTCATGACGACAAGAACAATCAAGGCAATACTCGTTTAGGCTTTAGTAACCTGTAGCCGCAAAGACCTACCTTTTTCAGAAACTATACATAGAACCCATAATAAGGAACCCTACAAAAGTAGGTCTTTTCGGCTACAGGAAAGCTTTGAAGCCAGGATGAGGGGTTGGAGTGCGCAACACTGAAGATCGAACTACTGCTTTCGAGATCCATAAAGCCTAAACCCTCAAACTCTAAACCCAAAAAGCCCTAACATCCCTAAACCCTACTTGCAGGCCAAGGGGACTTAGTAAGTAGGTCTTCTCGTAGACTTCTGAGTACCTGTAATGGACTTACCCCGATTACCCTGAACCCTGAAACCCTAAACCTTAAACCCTAAACCTTAAAGCCTAAACCCTAAACCCGAAAACCCTAAACCCTAAACACCCTGAACCCAGAAACCCTAAACCTTAAACCCGAAACCTTAAAGCCTAAGCCCTAAAGCCCCAAACAGTCACTCTCTACTCCGCGAGATCCTCCGCGAGCCATGGCCGCTATTGACCCAGCCACAGAGGCTGCGAGGGTGGGTTCTGGGCTTTTGAACCCCAGGGACCCCAAAACCCCGTAAAAGGATTTAGAGTTTAGGGTTTAGAGTTGAGGGTTTAGGGTTTGCTGAGGTACATAGCTGTCTTTTGAAGAGTTCCTTGACTGAAAGTTGTATTAAGAAGCAGAAAAGGGTTTCGGGGTATATTTTCAAGTCCAAAGACCCTGAACCAAGGAATAGACCGTTAGTCATATCACGGACCCCTCTTCAATACATGGTCTATACCGCAAGTCATAGTAAGGACTCCTCTGTAATTTTTGGCACTAGTATGTTTCTGACTTAAGCCTTGTAAACCCTAAACCCTAAAAACCTAAACCCTAAACCCTAAACCTAAACCCTACACCCTAAAACCCTAAAACCCTAAACCCTAAAACCTAAACCCTAAAATCCCAAACCCTAAAACCCCAAACCCTGAACCATGGGGTTTTGAGCTCTCTGGGTCCAAGAGACGCTGGACAGTTAGCTGGCTCGGACATGCTTGGTTCAGACGAGCGGCTCGGCTTTCGGGACTCTCGGGGTTTAGGGATTAAGGTTTAGGGTAGGGGCTTTAATGGCTAGAATAGGGTTCCTTTAAGGGTTCCTTTAAAAGGTTCCATAAGGATTACTATACTGGTTTCATGTAGGGGCCTTAATAAGTAGAATAGGGTTTTGGGACCCATTATACTATACTTATAATAAGGAACCCCCCAAAATAACATAGGCAATTATTAAGGCGCCTATCGTAGGGTTTAGGGTTTAGGGACATGGCTTGGGGTTTGGGGTGCAAGGCTTATGGCTGTGGTGCTTGATGAGCGCGAGCTCAAGGCTATTCAGGATTCGAGTCGCTCGTCCCTATAGGGGAGGTGTCAGATGGCTGTGCCGCAAGCCGCCCACAGACTGCACTGGAAGTAATGTGAAGGACTGACAGGTGAAAGAAAGCTTATGACAAAGAACATACGGACCCATTCTGAAGCCTCCATAAGCCCGAAGTTCTTCAAGCCTAAACCCTATTTATACCGAAAGCCCTATTTAAACCCGATCTTAACCCCAACACCCTACCCGACTGAAACCCTAAATCCAGAACCCATAACCTCGAAGTAGGATCTTTCTTTCGAAGGCCTCACCAGCATGACTAGCAGACTAGCACTGTCGGACTGGCTGTTGAGCTCTGGGTGGTTTAGAGTTTAGGGTTTAGGGTGGATGTTGCTCTACATTACCCTAAGGGTCCAAAGGACCCAATAATAAGGGATTCTGCGTTGATTGTATAACGGCTCCTCAGGGGATCTATAGGGATCTGTAGGGGTTGTAAGGGTCCAAAGGGCCCAATCATAAGGGACTTTGGTTACGGATAATAGTTCGTTTGGTCCATATTTGAGACAGCATATTTTTCTCTAAATTAGCGTCCCTTTTGGGGCTCTTTTTATAAGGGTGCCGTACTACATTGGGGGCCCTTAAAGAGGACACTAATTTAGAGAACTGCCCATATGATTCTTAGGTAATTGGGGCCTTAAGAGAGCCACATAGAACCCTTAACGGATCCCTTTAAAGGAACCCCTAAACCCTAAACCCTTAACGGATCCCTTTAAAGGAGCCCTTGAACCCTTAGAGTTAGGTACTTGGGGCCTGTTGGTTAGAGTCCAGGACCCTGAGGCTCCATGAGCCGATACGTTATATATAAAGGGGTTCCTAGATAGGTACTTTAAAGCAATTCTAGACACCCTTAAACTAGAGTTTTTGAGTTTATGGTTTAGAGCATAGGGCTTTCGCTAATTTCGCTTTCGGTTTTGTAGAATAATTCCAAGAAGGAACTTTCAGGGCGAACATTTGTAATTTTTCGCACTCCTTATTTATTAGACCGTCATCACTGCACCGGATGTCGACAGGCTTCCAGCAAGCGGTCGAAATGTCTGACCTACAATTCGAACAAGGATTACGGTGTCGTTGACAGTTATGGTGTACCGACTTTACCCGACCCCCTGAATATTAACCCTTAAGGGCCATAATATATCTGCATAAAGGGCCGGGGAAGTCGGAAATCAGCGATCCACATAACACCCTAAAACCCTAAACCCTGAACCCTAAACCCTAAACCCTAAACCCTAAACCCTAAACCCTAAAACCTTAAGCCCTATAACTATAAACTCTGACAAGCCCTCCCCCGAGCCCTCAGCCCCAACCCCAAAGCTATGAAGTCTCGGGCCCTCAAGTACCCACGATGCAATATGCCCTAAATACCCACTATGAAGGACCATGATGTATCCATTAAGGTCCTGGTGAATGTCCCTCCTGTATGCTAAAAGAAGGCAAGCCTAAACCCACTACACCCCTAAACCCTAAACCCTATAAAAACCCTAAGAAAACCCTAAAGACCCTATAAGCCCTAAACCCTATAGTCACGCCAAGGTTTAGCTTAGACTCTTGCGCTTCGGGTTGAGGGCCCAGGATTTAGGGTCTTGCTGGTGTTGTTGCTTTCCTCTTTTTGCAATTTCCTTAAAGACGGAATGAACCCCCACAGGAGTTTGAGGTTCCTATACATACCATATAGGGGGTTCATAGTATAAGGGTACAGGGTCCCTACTTTTAAGGGTCCCTAAACCCTAAACCCTAAACCCCTAATACTTTTAAAGGGTCCCTAAACCCTAAACCCTAAGCCCTACTTTTGAGGCTCACTTCGTCCTTAGGGTTTGGGGTTTAGGGTTTAGGGTTTAGGGTTTAGGGTTGACAGCAGGCCGTCGGCAGGATCCAGCCATCGCGGGCATTGCGCTCACATACTGCCTACTTGGAGGCCCAGGGGACTTACCAAGACGGTCATAAGTAGTGTAGCAGTTGGTGTAACTCCATTTAGGGTACTTATCAGACTACTTATAGCTTATAACCTACTTACTAAGTCCCCTGGGCCTCTAAGTGGCGACATGGAACTAGCTGCGGGAACTCACTCAAGGTCCAGGCTCTTGGCCTTTTCTTTTTCCTGCCATCGGCTACATGAACACAAAACCCCAAGCAACTTATATGCAGGACCATAAGCCCTATGACCTAAACCCTAGACTCCTGAATACCTATAAAGCCTAAACCCTGTCGACTATGCTTATGGAGTACTGCTGCTCATACCTACGTAATTGTTTTAAGTGTGCTGAAGCTCCGGGGGGGAGACTGCCTAGACTTGTAGGCCAATGGTAGACCCGGAACCCGAAACCACAACCCCCAAAACCCCTAAAGCCCTAAACCCCCAGGAGCCTGCTGCAGGCTTCGAGGGTTTCTCTGCAAAGAAAGCGTTAGGGGCCTCGAGGAAGTAAGGGTCCAAGGGCAGCTCCTGAAAGGCTTCAACCTTTTCAAAACTCGTCCCGGGGCCGGGCTTCCAGGTAGGCACGGGCCCTGGCCTTGCAGTTCAAAAAAGAGCTAGTGCGGGCTGCAACGCTGCATCAAGAGCTCCTTGTGCTGCTGGTTTACCAAAACCGTCACCGCTGCCAGGGTTGGCTCCGAACGGATGTGAAGTCCTCGGTCCGCGAGGAAGGTCATGACCTTCAAGGTCTTGGCCACGACACAGCTTTCCACCTGCAACCACTCCACCAAACTTGACGGCAAGTAGTGGACGAGGTGCACCCAGTTTTGCTGCGGGCTCCTCGCACCCTTGGCCACCCTGCCTCCAGAGCCGCCACGAGGGCCCCAAACCCTAAACTCCTAAACCCTAAACCATCCCTAAACCCCTAAACCCTAAAACCGAAACCAGGTCCTAAACTCTGAAAAGACTTTCCCAAATCTTCAGCCCTCATCTGCGCACCTGCCAGCAGATGCCTTTATAATTCATACTTATAATAGGGCTTCTTTCAAGTGTTACTTTAAAGGGTTCTGTAAGGGATCAATAAGAGGTTTCCATAATAGAGGGGCCGTAATGATTAGAAAAGCGGTGTTACACTATACTTATACAGTATTGGAAACTTAGGCCGCTGTAGTAGCCCCCAACAACTAAACCCCCCACATCCCTGACGTCTTGACCGGCAAAGCCCGAAAGTCACTAACATGCAACTCCCCGCTAGCCTGAAACCACAGCCTCAACATCAGGATCCAACCCAGGTTGCTTCCAACCTAAATCCTAAACCCTAAACCCTAAACCCTATAAACCCTATAAGCCCTAAACCCAAAACCCTAAACCCTGAACCCAACCTCAGTCTTTAGTGCGAGGTGCCAGCTCAACCCCCCACCACCCCCTCAGCTCTGCCCCCCAAACACCCCTAAACACCCCAACCCCCTCACCGCCGCCTCAGCTCCGCCCCCCAAAACCCTAAACCCTGAACCCTGCAGCCTAAACCCAAGTCCCAAACCCTATAAACCCTTCCCAAACCCTATAAACCCTTCCCAAACCCTATAAACCCTACATCTCAAACCCTACAAACCCTAAACCCCCCGCCTCCAAGCCGGAAGTTGGCGCTTTGCAGGGTCCTGCTTCCTTCTCTGCACTCAAGACCTGCGATACTTACTTGGGTGCTTGTCAAAATCATGGTCCCTGTGTGGGTCCTTATTATAATACGGCACCTGTTATTTAGGGTACCCCAAAAATGACCCTAATTTTGACAACCACCCACTTGTAACTCCATTCATAATTAACCTACTTGCTACGTCCCCTGACCCCGAAACCCCTAAACCCTAAACTCCTAAACCCTAAACCCCTATACCCTAATACCCCGAAACCCTAAACCCCTAAACCCTGATACCCCGAAACCCTAATACCTCTAAACCCTAAACCCCTAAACCCTAATACCCCGAAACCCTAAACCCTAAACCCAAAACCCTAAACCCCAAGCCCCTCAATCCCTAAACCCTAAACCCTAGACCCTAAAACCCCAAACCCTTAAACCCTGAACCCCTAAACCCTGAACTCAGGGTCTCCATCTCCTGAAGCGTCCGAGTACTTCAAACTCATGCGTGTAATCCTCTAAAGTGAAGTCCCCTCCTTTCAGGGCCAAGTGACCCTTAAAACTAGGGACCCTGTGCCCTTACACTATGAACCCCTATATGGAATATGAACCTTAAATCCTGTTGGGGTTCATTCCGTCTGTAAGGTTTTGGGGTCCCCACCCACAATAGTACGGCACCCCTATAAAATCGGCCCTAACAGGGACACTGATTTAAAAAACTACCCGTCTATTCTCCCTACAGATCCTTTATGGAAGCCCGTCTCATAGTTTGCGAATATTGTTGTTAAGCCCTTTGGACCCTCATAGGGTCGCGGAAAAGGGCCCCACTTGGAGCCCCAGGAGACTTGGCAGGTCGCTGGTAGGTAAGGTTATGATTTGGGTATCTCCAAGTAGGGGACTTATAAACCTTCTGAGCAGGTCGCTGGTAGGTAAGGTTATGATTGGGGTATCTCCAAAGTAGGGGACGTATAAACCTTCTTACAACCTATTTGCTGGTCCCGCTGGGCCTCCAAGTAGAATATGAGTCTGGGAGCTTAGGGATTCGGATCGAGGGGTTGAGGGCTTTTGGGGTTTATGGTGTAGGGTGTTGAGGTTCTAGGGTTTAAGATTTTAAGGTTTGGGGACTTTTCGGGCGTAGTGCTTTAAGGTTCTAGGGTTAGGGTTTTAAAGCTTCAGGGTTTAAAGCTATGACACTTCAGGACTTTCAGGCTTTAAGGTTTTAGGGTTTGGGTTTTCAAGGCTTTGGGGTTTAGGGGGCTTAGGGCCTAGGGCTTCAAGGATTTATGGCTTTCAGTTGTAAATAGGGTTTGGGAGCTCAGCATGTATAGTGCCTGTAGGTCTCGGGGGTTTAAATATTTGGGGCAAGCCTCTATACAGGGTTCGAGGCCCTAAACCCTAAACCCTAAACCCCAAGGCCTACACCCTAAACCGTTCGAGGTACAGTACATGTGATGGTCATTACGTTCGTCGAGCATTCGGGCTCCTAGGTTCTGGCGAAGGCTCTGGGGGCCTCATGCCAACACATGGCGTTGATATTCATTGTTGTGCAGAGGCAAGCGGAAACCACGACTAGACTCTGGCGTGCTCCAAGTTTAAAGGCCCATCAGCTCATGAAAAACGGGATTAACGGCTGAAGAATTTAGGGTTTAGCGCTTCACCACAAAACCCGCGCCCAACCCGTCCTAGGTCTCTATATATACATATATATATATATGTTTACCACCTTGAGGCTCAGATCCGTAAACGCTTTGATTGGAGTCATGTGTTTTGGGCATGTAGCGACGACACAACAGATCCGAAACAAAACATTATGTACCTGATGCAAACCCTTGACCGCAAGATGGATTTGCTTGCACTTTCGCACGACACGCACCAATAACTGCCTCAAGCCATTCGAGACCAATGCCTGAATCATTGAAACCGTAATATACCAACCCTTGAAGCCAAGATCGAAACCCCCGTTTTTGTTTGGACTGGACTGGCCCCACGAATTTCCCATGATGGTTGTCGTGCAGTCCCACCAAAACTCGTGGAACTCAACAGCCCCTAGTTCAAGGTGCTTGAAACCAAAGTTGCAACAGCCGGCCGTCTCAAGTACGGAAAAATGCCAATCGAAATCCTTACATCCCCGGATCATGTGTTTGAGCAAACATCACCCAGCTTCGCTTTGTTCAGAACGATTCTTACTCCGAGCATCGTTCTCAATACCGAACAACATGATGCGGATTACGATGTTCAGCCTTAACATGATCTCGTAGACTCGTAGCATCAAGCTGATGTCGTGCAAGTATTGACTAGCTTGCCTCGCACTTCTAGCACTGCTGCCATTGGCAGTATCGAGCTAACTCTGCGAGACTAATGGTTGACAGCCGCGACATGCTTCGATTCAAAATTGTGATGGAAATCTTTGTGCTTATGTGTCACTTGGCAGGTCCACTCTCTGCTATTTGAACCCCAAGGTCCCTCCCTACCGCCTTGGATGCGTGCGACGATCTGAAACGAAGACTTGACAAGAAATGCCAACATGAAGCAAGTGAACTGCTCCTCTTCCAAGTGCTTGAGCAATGACTACATACATGCTACAGAACAAGCTTGCGCAATTGGCGAGACTACAGGAAGGACTACACTGTGAGCACAAGCCATGCAATGGCAAGCACGCGTGTCTGCACCATGGGACTGCTACTTTGAGGTAAACCGGAGTGTATCATCAGACGGCAGCACTCATGTCGTAAAACAGCCCTTGTAGCGCAAGAAGATAATGTGACGTTACGCCATCCGACAGGGTAATTCCACCGTAGCTCTCGACTACGTGGTTGCATTCTGCCCGTGTTGCTTTGGCTCGGTTTGGGGCTTTGGTGTTGGCAGCCCCGTCTTTGTGCGTCAGTTTGGCACCATGGTAGCACATTTTCCATCGTGATTTTACTTCCTCAGCTATCTTGTCCATCTCTCGCTCTCTCTCTCTCTCTCTCTCTCCTTCTGTCTCTTTCTCTCTCTCTCTCTCTCTCCTTCTGTCTCTCCCTCTCTCTCTCTCTCTCTCTCTCCCTCTCTCCCTCTCTGTCTGTGTCTCTCTTTCTCTCTCGCTCTCTCTCTCTCTCTCTCTCTCTCTCTCTGTTGCCTTACTCACAGGCTCATGCCAACATTGGTCATGAGGTATCCAAAATTAGGCAAGCACGTACACACACACAGACACACATGCGCAGATAATAACAACTATACGTATATGTATATATGTATGTATGTGTATATATATATATACGCACACCTTTTTTCAACATGTGCATTGTTCATACTGTTATGTTTATACGTGCGTATACATGCATGCCGTACTATGCGCATGTCTCCCTCTCTGACTCTACACGTGTACGTTTATGTAAGCTATGCCAAGCATCCACGCACTAATCCCCCTGCGGCAGCCGTTGGTGTCTTGATCGGCTCATCGGTATGCTGGTCTGTGTCCTGTACCGTTTGTGCCGGGAGCCCGAAATCCTCATACCTGCAAGGTCCTAAGCCTTGCAAACCCCACCATACCAGGACGCCCCAAGTGTGCCGCAATAGATCTCCTATGGTCCTTGATAGTGGGTGGGTTTTTTTGTGGGTAATTGGGGGGTCTAGGATACCCTTTCCTAAACCCTAAACCCTAAACCCTAAACCCTAAACCCTAAACCCTAAACCTTAAACCCTAAACCCTAAACCCTAAACCACCCTTTAAACCCTACAGCCCTCCCCAAACCTTTGCCTCCTGGTGGCGGCGCGGGCGAACGGGAGGCGTCTTCGGACAATCTGGCCGCTGAACGGCTATGGGATGTTTAGGGGTTTAGGGTTTAGGGTTTAGGGTGTTTCTGTTTTGTAGGCTTGAGAAGCCATATGCCCAGACCCAAACCAGAAAACCTAAACCATGTGCAAACCCAAAACCCTAAACCCTCAACCCGGTAGGGCTCGAAAGCCTTGTTGGATGTCTTGTAACATGTTTGATGGTTCTTATCGGAGACAAGGGGGGTTTGGGTTTAGGGTGTCTGGGCTGTCGCTGCTTAGGCTTTACGGCTTGGGGGTGTGGGGGGTGTCCTGGGCGTCGACAGATTCAGGCTGTCAGCTCGACCATTTCTTTTCGTGCGACGCTCAATGCGAAGCAGTGGTGCGACTCATTACGGTCATCACTGCGCACACATCTGGTTTTATCGGCGTTGCTTTTCCGGGTTCTTTCCGACAACTGCGACTGACATTGCGAAAGCACGCTGGATGCTGTGAACACACGAAGCTTCGATTCCTACCCAGTGACCTCCGGTTTCACTCGGACTCTTCCTCCTCGAAAGCTTTGTGTCTAGTAGTGCTGCCGTTGGCAGCAGCAGCAACAGTCCTCGTCGTCGGAGTCTTCGTCGTCGTAATGCTACCAGTACAGAAGCAGAATAACACAGTGTAATATATTGATATAGGACACATTGTATATGATTTTTCAGCTATTATCTATACAGATATCTACAACCCATAATCTATAATCTTTGATATGTATATATATATATATATACACACACACTACATCTTATGCAAATATCACCAGCACTAGCGCTAGCATGTGCAGCCCTAGTTCCAGACTCAGCTTTCGACTGCTGGCTGCTTAGGGTCCTTAAGGTAATGCAGGACCCTAAACCCTAAACCCTAAACCCTGAACCTTAAACCCCATAATTCCCATAGTTCAGGGTCCTTAAGGTAATGCAGGACCCTAAACCCTAAACCCTAAACCCTGAACCTTAAACCCCATAATTCCCATAGCTTAGGGTCCTTAAGGTAATGCAGGACCCTAAACCCCAAACCCTGAACCTTAAACCCCATAATTCCCATAGCTTAGGGTCCTTAAGGTAATGCAGGATGTGTATCATCAACAGTAGCAATGCTGGCCATCAGCCCTCCAGTTCTAGTTGAATGTTGTCGCTGATTCGGTTTAGGTTTTAGGGTTTAGGGTTTAGGGTTTAGGGTTTCGGGTTTTGGGTTTTGGGTTTACGGTTTAGGGTTTAGGGTTTTGGACTGGAGTTGGGAGGAAGCCCACAACATCAGGATTTGCTTCTTCCTAAACCCTAACCCTAAACTCCCCAACCTCAAACAAAGAAACCCTAACTCAAAAAGTGCTTCGCATGCCCAAAGCCATGAGCCCCTAAAGATCACTTACAAAGCCACCACAGGGGGCCTTAGAAGCAAAGGAAACTACGGGTGGGGAGTTTAGGGTATATAGGGTTTAGGATTCAGGGTTTAGGGTTGAGGCTTCTATACTTCTATAAGGTATATAGACCCTCTATACGGCTCCTATAACGGTAACTACTCACCTGAGACTGTCCTAGACCTAGAGGAAACCTTACAGCCCAAAAGCTCCAAAGTACCGGTTCCTTTACGGATTCCTTCACTAGTTTATGAGTTGGGGTCCCTTTAAGGGTTCGTCAGTCCCTGGCCTAGTCTAGTCTAGTAGGATGTAGGGCTTCTATAGTAGGAATAGCTGTTGAGATTTGGGGAAGTATCCCCCATAACTGTACCCAGGATCCTTTAGACCAAGAACCCGTAGAGGGAATTGAACCCTCAAAAGAACCCTAGACCCTAAACCCTGACCCTAAACCCTGAACCCTAAACCCTGAACCCTAAACCCTAAACCCTAAACCCTAAACCAATCCTAAACCCAACACTGCGAACCCTAAACCCTGAGCCCTGAATCCGGTTTCGGGTCTAGGATTCGGT